GGCAGGCTGAGGCTGAGGCTGAGGCAGGCTGAGGCTGAGGCTGTGACTGTGACTGCCGTTGCCACTGCGACTGTCATCGCGAATGCGACTACGACTGCGAGAACAGCAGAATTCTACAACTGGATTTTCATGTGAATCTTAAGGGGAATGCTTCCAGATATGCTCCTACACATCGCTGTTAGGTTGTTTTGCCGGGATAATTTTTAAAACCTGGTTTCCAAACGGAAAAAAAAAACAACACATTTGGAATCATATTGTTACAGCGTTTGTTTGAAGCGTTTTGATGCAATAAAAAAAAAGCCAGTCGTCGATCGCATCTGGATTCGGTTGCGCGGGTTTGACGGGCGACCGAAAATGCAACACGCTCCTACAGAGCATAACCCCCGTGCCCCTAGCAGGCGCGCAGTGCATCACATCTTGGGGCGGCGGGGAAACGGCTTCAGTAGTCTCAGCGGGCCCTGTGCGCCCAGGATCATCATGTTCGAACGCGTTGAACTGCTAATGCGCCGCATGTGTAGTTTCTGCAATAGTCATTCTGTTTATCTGATAATGCTGGTCCCTGCTATTGCTGTTGCATGCTCTCACCCCTCTGCCCGTAAACATATTGGCTGAGGGGGCCCCCTTTTGCTAACGCTACCAGCGATCATAACTTATCATTTGCAGCGAGAAGGTCTTGGAATAAAAGATTCACGCATCTTATCAGCGCCTGCGTGTGCGTTGCATTGGCAGCGGAGCGTGTATTCCGAGCTCCCTCGCAGGGAGAACCCTTTCGGCATCAGACAGTTTCTTCCCGGACACTCCCGTGCAGTCGGACAGATCACGACGGATATTACATCTCGCACGATGGCTGACCGGAGGCCTGCTGCTGCCGCTGGTTTTCGCGGTGCCGCCGCACCGAAGAAGTACGGAGATCGTCGATACAAGGGCAAGCACCCTCGAGACGGAGCTGCGGCAGCGGCTACGCCCGACGATGAGACCTACGAAGAGGAATGGGCCGACGAGTGGGCCGAAGAGGACTGGGCCGAGGACGACTACGAGGAGTCGGAGATTCCACCGAGCTCGGCGGAGTTTCGACGCACCCGTGGTGATCGCAAGAAGTGGCGCGGAGGACCGTGCCCGGCCCCGCCTCCACTCGAGGCTCGGTTTCAGAATATCTACAAGCAGCCGAGGTACTACCAGAAGTGGGTTCGGAAAGTGCACATGTGGAAGGCCAGGGCGCGACACTACAAGCCGATGGCCGAGCTGGCCCTGGACCTTTCGGACGTCATCACGGGCGAGGGCGCAGAGATGATCGAGTCTTTGGAATGGACCCGTCTGTATTCACAAGATGGCATCGATCTGGTGATCAACTCACTCGCCGTGTTCGACGAGCAGCAGATCCTACAAGTTGGAGACCTCATGGAAGAGTACGAAGAAGTGGAGCGCCTGCCCGGTGAGCTGCTGGCCGCGTACGTCGCGCATTTCAAGGATCTCGAGATGCGGCTCAAGCGGGCAGAGCTTCCAGCTCAGCAAGGACAATTTCGTGCGTTCAAGCTGTTGCGAAGTTCATGTTTGTCGCCGGAGGTTCGGCGCAACCTCCTCCTCGCGACGGGCAATGAGTACGACTTCGACCGCCTCGTTCAGGCTATGAGTGTGCAGTGGCCGTCCACCGCCCCGAACTGGGTTGCTCCAGTACGACGGATGGCACGCAAGCGACTCGGTGAGGCGGCCGCTCCTGAACGCAAGCCGGCTGGTCGAGATCACGATAAAGGAGGCGGCAAAGGACGAGATCGACAGCCACAGAATCGAGCTCCTCGACCAGCGCCGAAGCCGCCCCACGTCAGCGAGGCCGACATTATTCCCGAAGACGAGGCTGAGGAAAACGAAGATGAAGACGACCCCGATCAAGCAGAAGTAAATGAGGCTTACGCCGAGGAGGTTGACTGCATCCAGGTCATGCAGGAGGCGGCGGACGCTTTGACCGTCACAAGCGACAAGCTGAAGAAGCTGACCTTGGGCCGCGGGTGGACCGGAAGGTCCTCACCGCCGAAGCCTGGAGACCGACGCCCGCCACCGCGGTCAGCGCCCTCCGGTGGTGCCGCCGCCCCTGCGGGTCGGCCGCCCCCAGCGCCGCCCGGCAGGTCGCCGCAAACATCGCCAGCACCGCCACAGAGAGGCACTGCGACGCCGCCGGCCGGCACGTCTTTTTCAGGAAGCATTCGTGGAACGTTTACGGGAGATCGATCCGGAGATTCAAGAGCACCGGCGGCATCTCAGAGGCCAGGGTTTCGCCAGACGTCATCGAGGACCGGCTACAAGGATAAACGCGATCGAGCTCGCGCCGTTCATGATGCCTCGATTGATCAGGACGAACCCGCTGATGAAGACGATGAGGAGCACGCCGCCGATGCGGTAGAGCACGAGGCCCTAGTCACGCACCTCTCGCCTGACGAGCTGCAGCAGCGCGTGGCCGCCTTCAAGAGCAGGGTCGCCACCAGCGACAAGGGGGCCTCTCGCGTTCGATTTCAGGCAGCGCCAGAAGTGCGTCAGTTTTCCGTGGATTCTCGCGGAGCTCAGGCGGCGAGAAGCGGGACAAAATCATCGCATCAGGTCGACGTCATCTGGCATGTCCGGACGCCCTTGGACGTTTGCTTCCTCGAGGATTCCCAGGGTTTCTACATTGTCATCGACACAGGTTGCCAGCGCAACGTTGTGGGCTACGAGTGCTTGGGGAAGTTTCTGGAACATATCGCCTACCTGGGATTGAGTTTCTGGGAAGCTGAGGAGCAAGAGAGGTTTCGGTTTGGAGTCAGTCGTGCGGTGAGCAAATCTGTGGTGTATTTCCCGATATGTCTTGAACATGTGGTGCCCCTGGTTTGCCGTACCTCAGTCTTGGACGTGAACCCTAAGTTGCCTTTCTTGGGACCGTTACCGATGTGGAAGCTCTTGGGCCTCCAGCTGGACACCTTGGGGGAAAGGGCTCATTTCGCCAAGATCAACCTGTGCGACGTGCCCCTGAAGATTGCCCCGAATGGCCACTTGCTTCTGAGAGTCGACTCTTGGTTGAAGGATGTGGGGTTCCCAAGGGAGCCCGAGGCCTGGAAGTTCACCCCCTCGGACGTCATCATCCCGGAGCCCCAGTGGATCCCAGAGGCACCAGCCTGTGTTTCCGGAGATAGTCGTGCTCAAGCCGAGTCTCAGCCTATGCAGTTTTCACGCGCAGCACTGTGTGCTCTTACATATACTCACCGCGGGCTGCTTCAGCCTCGCGAAGTCCTGCCCTCCGTGCCAGACGGCTGTAACCTGACCGACGCCACACCCGTGTTCGAGAGCATCCTCGGTCTGTCGGTAAATGAAGTCGGTCAAGTCGGAGTCGCAGGAGGCCCGATCGTCTCGTCGCACAGTCCAGCTGACGAGGCAGAACCTGGCGATCAACGCGTGGACGAACCTGATGCAGCTGATCATGAACCACCTGTCGCACATCATCGGTCGCAGTCGCGAGCAGTTCCGGCAGAACTTGGAGATGTCGAGCCGGATGATGGGCACGATCGCGCAGATGGGCCACGAGATGGGCTACCTGACACCGATGGCGGACTCAGCGAAGGCGATCGCGAGAGGAGCCGCACAGGTTCCGGAGAGCGTGCTGCCACCGCCGCCGGCACCGGAGGATCAAGCCCAGAACTACTCACAGCTGTGCAAGAAGAGGGACGCGTGCGCCCATCCGACACCGAGGAGGTACTACGCCAAGGGGTACTGGCTGATCTGCGACCAGTGCGGCCGGCGGTGGAAGTCGGTCAACGGGAAGTGGATCGTGGACGACAAAGAAGATCCTCTTCGCGTACCTACCTCGACAAAGTCACTGGGTTCCTCCTCGCGCTCTCGGCCAGCTGCTTCAATAATGCCGAAACGCCCGGTCAAGTCTTCGGCGAGCTCGAGCCAGGGTCGTGCGCGGACCAAGGCGGAGCCAAGGTCACCCTCGGAGCAGGCGGTTCCGACGGACGAGGAGGACGACGAGAACTTGGACAGGGCCTCCGAGGGCGAGGAGACGGACCAGGGACGGGACAAGCTTCCGCGCCAGCCTCCCCAGCGCCGGGGACCGAGATGGCGAAGAGAGGCGCCTGGAAGCGCCTTCTCGGCATTGCTAAGAAGACGACCGCAGCCTGCGAGACGCTTATTAACGTGAGTCAAGATGCCGATCGCCGTGCTGCCGATTTACGAGACGCGGAATGGTGCTGTTCGGACGTGGCCTTCATGGACATTCCCGTTCCCGAGTTGCCCGACTACCTGTACCTGGACAACGAGTGCCAGGCGTGCCGCACCGACCTCGTCGAGGGCTGCGCCGGGACAGCAAGACCTACGCGATTAGCTTCACACTTTGAGCTGAGGGCCTCGCCGAGCGCCGACATAGAGGACGGCTGGGACTTGTCAACTACGCGAGGTGCTCAGAGATGGAAAGATCAGATACAGAAAGACAAACCACTCTACGTGATCGTAGGCTTCCCCTGCACGCTCTGGTGCTCCTACAACGTCAATGTGAACTACGTCGACCATCCCGAGCTGCTTGAGAGACTTCGTGCCCGGGATCGACGGCTGATTGACTTGATCAAGTGGACCATCGAATACCAGGTGAAGCATGGCCGGTTCTTCTTGTTCGAGAACCCGCCGACGTCAGCGATCTGGAAGGGCCTCCAGTTCGCCCCGCTCCTGCCCTTGGGCGAGACCGTTATTGGCCATGGGTGCCAGTGCGGGAAGACAGGCAAGACTGGCCTGCCGATTCGCAAGGCGTATCGCTGGTTCTCCAACTCGCCGCCCGTGCTTGCGGCTCTGAGCCGCCGCTGCCCAGGACTTCGCCCGGAGTCCGGGGGCCACTTGCACGATCAGATCGAGAACTCGAAGTGGACAAAGGCCAGCGGCGAGTACACCGACGAGATGGCCCACGCGATGCTCCACGCGATCCAGCAGGTCGCCGCCCAGAGGAATCCGAGCAGGTTCGCCGACATGCCGGTCGCGGCTACCGAGTGGGAGGCCGCCTACAACCACGCAGGTCCCATCGAGGTGCTGTTCGCCTCGCCAGAGAAGGACCCCACCAGGTGGGAGGCGGTCATGCAGGGCGTCCGACAGATCGTGGGCGGCTCCGCCAGTCGAGGCGGGAACAAGGCCACGCATTACCTTTCGAAGTCATCCGCGCTCTGGAGACAGATTAGCCAGCTCGTCCCGTGGGACCTCACGATGATCCAGCTCGTGAAGACAGCCAAACAAAGGAGGTTCCCCATCAACAAGGAGCCGTGGTCTCACCGTGGTCACTGCTACGTGGACGAGAAGGGCCATTACCACATCGAAGCCGAGGACCTGGTTGACGTGGCCTTCCCGACGTTGGCCTTGTCGCCGCCAGCGGACCTAGCCGTTTTCTTCTTCGGCTATGCCAAGCAGGAGTCCCTCCCGCAGGAGCCTGACACGTCACAGATAGAGAAGCGAATGCCGCTTCCCCCGGACCCGAACGACCCGATGCTGCCGAACAACAGCCTGCCGCCCGATGAGGACGACGACCTGCAGGACGTCCCGATCGCTCGGATGCCTGACGCGTCCGGCGGTATGGCTGGCATACGTTTTGTTGGAGTGACAAAGGAGCAGTGTCCTCGTGAAGTTCGCCAGCTTGTCGCTCGTATGCACTGTAACTTGGGGCATCCTGTGCCCAGCGAGTTCTTCCAGTTCCTGGCTCAGAGAGGCGCCTCGCAGGCCACGCTGCTGTGCGCCAGAGCGCTGAGGTGCCCGGCGCGCCTTCGTCGCAAACGGCCTCAGCGACAGCGGGAGTCACAGATTCCAAGAGTGGGTCTGTTCAACGACTTAGTCAAGGGCGACTTGTTCTACGTCATGACCCACGACGGTACGACGCACGCGCTCTTGGGACTGGTGGACAAAGCTACGAGACTACATGTGGTGTGTCGGATTGCTTCACGCGAACCAGGAGACGTCTGGGAGAAGTTCCAGACGTGCTGGCTCACCCCGTTCGGGATCATGCAGATTCTGGTTGTCGACCGGGACGGTGGGTGCCTTCGAAGCCGCGTTCCTGGACAACTGCCACACGTTGGGAATCGACGTGAGGTACGTGCCGCCGGGAGCTCACTGGCAGCTGGGCCTGGCCGAATCCGGCAACTACGCCTGGCGCCGAGTCTTCGAGAAGGTGATCGACGTCATCCTGCCGACGATGCCAGAGCACGTGGACCTCGCGATCATCTCGACGAGCCACGCCGTAAACCAGTCAGTGCGCCGAGCAGGCCGCACCGCCTATGCCGCCGCCTTCGGACGGGTACCCACGCTTCCGACCGAGCTCTTGGCCGACACCACGTCCGCCGAGTTCTGGCACAATTGCACCCAGGATGAGATGCTGGCCTACGGGGAGAGATGCCGCATTGAGGCGCTCAAGGCGATCGCCGACCTGGAGGCCGACGAGGCGCTGCGCACCTCCATCCTCCGCCAGCCTGTCAACCGCAAGGAGCACGACTTCCTCTCGGGACAGCGCGTGGCAGCCTGGGGCGAGCATGGTCGCAAGCGACGGGGCAAGACGCCCGTGGCAGGGCATCGCCCAGGCATTTTCTGTTTCTGGGATTCCGGCACCAACGGCTACGGCGAGGGCGAGTCTGCCTGGCTGCGGATCGGGCACCGCACTGTGCAGGTGGCCCGCGAACACATACGCCCAGCCATCGGTTTCGAGGGCTGGACCCCTTCCGAGGAGGACCTCAAGGAGCTCAAGACGGCCGAGCAGGACTTGGCGAAGGCCGGCCAGGGCGACGCTTCGAACATCACCATTGAGGGCCCCCCTGAACAACAACCCGAACCAGAAGATCCGCAAGCACGAGTGCTGCCGGGACCTCTTCCGGCAGCCCCGCTCGAGCCCATCCTGGAGGAGCCCGCGCAGGCCTCTCTGGGAGACAACGCTACCAAAGAGAACTTCAGGAGCGCGTCAGCCGACGACGCCCCTGAAGCTGCGCCAGATGCTGAACTTCCTCAACTTACCGACGCCGGCAAGAAGCTGATCTGCCAGGTCGCGGTCTCGAATGACTGGCGAGTCGGGACCGGAGACGCGGAGAGCGCCTTTCTCCAGGGAGGCGCACAGAGTGAGCGCGAGGAGGCGATCTACATGATTCCGCCCAAGGACCCGATCGTTCAAGCCGCCGGGACGCCTTTGCTTTTTTTTTTTTTTTGTTTTTGTTATTTTTTTTTTTTTGTTTTCTTTTTTCTTTTCTTTTCTTTTTTTTTTATTTTACTGTTTTTTTTTTTTTTTTTTCTGTTTTTTTTTTTTTTTTTTTTTTTTTTTTTTTTTTTTTTTTTTTTTTTTATTTTTTTTTTTTTTTTTCTTGTTTTTTTTTTTTTGTTTTTTTTTTTTTTTTTTTTTTTTTTTTTTTTTCTCTTTTTTTCTTTTTCTTTTTTTTTTTTTGTTTTTTTTTTCACTTTTTTCTTCTTCACCGCCCCGCTCTACGAGGTGGTTGGCAACCTGTACGGTCAGTCGACGGCGCCGTACCTGTGGTACAAGCACGTGGTGACGACCTTCCTGGCGCTGGGCGGCAAGCTCCACAGCCTCGATTCAGCTCTCTTCTTGTGGTTTTTTCCGAACAACGAGTTGGCTTGCGCAGTGGGTATGCACGTGGACGATGCTCTTGCGGCACACCATCCCAAGTTCGACTTCGCACCGATCGAGAAGGCTATTAAATGGCGAGGCTGGCAGTGGGACAACTTCGTCTTCCTCGGCGAGGAGTACCAGCGCCTGCGTCAAGGTCCGTACAGTGGAAGTTTGTTTGTTCATCAAGCGGCCTACACTAAGGCGATTGCAGTCACGAAGGTTGGAGTTATGTCCAGCACTCGGTCTTCTTTTAAGCTGACGCGCTCGGAGCGCGAAGATCTGGAGTCTGCTGTCGGTTCGCTCCAGTGGTTGTCCGGACACGCACGTCCAGACCTGTCAGCCGCGGTTTCCCTTGTCCAGAGGACCGACCCCGAGCTGAACGACCTACGGATGGCCATGAAGCGCGTAGAGTACGCGCACCGCACAGCCCAGACTGGCATCCTGATCGTCCGCGTCGATTTGAGCCGCGCCTGCTTCGTAGGTTTTGCAGACAGCTCATGGGCGAACGCTCCGGGATTGAAGACCCAGATCGGCACCCTCATCTTTCTGGCAGACGAGGTGATACTCACCGGACCCACGTCATGTACTCTCTTGTTTCACAAGTCCAAGAGAACGCCGAGAGTGGTGAGATCTACGCTGGCTGGGGAAGCTATCGCGCAGGACCTGGGAGTGGACTACGCGTCGTACTTGTCGAAGTTCCTGTCCGAGATGCTGACCGGACGGCCTGCTGGCCGACACCCACCGATCTTCGAGGTTATCACCGCTACCGACTGCAAGTCTCTGTACGATGCCCTTCACCAGCTCACCCCGCGTTTGTCTGAGAAACGTACTGTGATCGACGTGATTTCCATTCGTGACGAGGTGAAGGTCAAGAACGTCAGGTGGATCCCTACGACGCACATGATAGCCGACGGCATGACCAAGGAGGATCCGAAGCTTCGCGAGAATCTGACCGAGTTCTTGGCGGACCCAGTGCTTTCGCTCGTGGAGTCGATTGCTTGCGAGGAGCTGACCGGTGGGGATGGCCAAGTACAGAAGAAGTGATATGATTTTCCACTTGCACGTGCCGGGAGTCGCGTTTCACTCCCATCCGCTTGGTTTCGCCCAAGATATTGCGAGTTTGATTTTCCACTTGCACGTGCCGGGGGTCGCGTTTCACTCCCATCCGCTTGGTTTTGCTCAAGATATCACCGATTCCGGATGCCGGTATCGAGTTTCGGTTTATTGATTTCAGCTGCCGATCCTTGGCCGCGCAAAGAATTCAGTTACTGTCTCATTTTGTGCTAATCCGAGTCCGTGCTGCAAACAAGCCCGTTGTATAGCCAGGCCGCATTCTGAGTTTCAGAGCAGGACCAGAGAGAACTCCAGGAGTGCAATAGTCATTCTGTTTATCTGATAATGCTGGTCCCTGCTATTGCTGTTGCATGCTCTCACCCCTCTGCCCGTAAACATATTGGCTGAGGGGGGCCCCTTTTGCTAACGCTACCAGCTATCATAACTTATCATTTGCAGCGAGAAGGTCTTGGAATAAAAGATTCACGCATCTTATCAGCGCCTGCGTGTGCGTTGCAGTTTCAACATTGGGCCCCTTGTCAGTGCGATGCAGTAAGCCCCAGTGGTATGCAATCGGTGCCTCATGGTGCCCTATGGCTTCTCATTGAATCCCTCACCTGCCTTTTGACCCGTTTCGGTACGTATAGGACACCAGATGGTTCATCGCGTTTACAAATGCTTCCTGTGGGTCCCACCTTCACTCGGCATTCTCGCCCAGTCGTTCCACTGGCTCGTCGCTGGTTCCACGCGAAGCCTGGGGACTCATGTAAGCTTGCAGTGTCTCATTGTTTCCCAGGAGCTAATATGAATTATGTTTGCCTCCCCCGGGCTCCCATTGGAGCGGAGGTTCTTCTCGTTGCGTCCGCGGGCCCCGTGCATTCTCTGGAATGCGGTCGCGCACGATGTCACGCCCCGCTGCGTTGGGCCCAAGCATGGCCAAGGAGGGGCCCGACCCTTGAGCTGCCGCGGCCAACTCTTCGGCGGCGGCGGGGCTTGGCGCCCTGGAGGCGGTCGCCAACGCGCGGCCCATGCTGTGGCGCCGGAAAGCTCATTGTTCCACAATGCGTGCATCCACGTCGGGGCCCCACTACACGTGAAACTAATTACCTAACAGCTTTTGCTGATAGGTTTTTAGTAGGGTCAAAAGAGAGCATCATGACTCCTCAGGGGGGTCTGGGCGGGTGCCGGGGAGGAGAACCGGGAATCGTTTTTCGCCAGCAGTCACACACTTCGCGCTCTTCGACCTCCCAGAACTCCATTCCCGGGACACATTCTGGAGAACTGGGAACAGAGCCGGGTTCGCTTTTCGCCAGCAGTCACACATGTCGTGCTCTTCGACCTCCCAGAACTCCATTCCCGGGCTACATTTTGGATGCCCGGAGACAGCTGTAGGCCACTTCGTGCTCTTCGACCTCCCAGAACTCCACTCCCGGCCTACATTTTGGATGCCCCGAGCCAACTGTAGGCCACTTCGTGGTCTTCGGAGTTTCCCAGAACTCCATTCCCGGGCCGCCATTTGAATGCCTGGAGCCAAGTAGGCCACTTCGGGTCTTCGAGTTCCCAGAACTCCATTCCTGGGCCACATTTTGAATGCTGGAGCAGGCTGATGCTGCGGCCGAGGCAGGCTGAGGCTGAGGCAGGCTGAGGCTGAGGCCGAGGCTGAAGGCAGACTGAGGCTGAGGCTGAAGCAGACTGAGGCTGAGGCTGAGGCAGGCTGAGGCTGAGGCTGAAGCAGGCTGATGCTGAGGCAGGCGGAGGCTGAGGCTGAGGCTGATGCAGGCTGAGGCTGAGGCAGGCTGAGGCTGAGGCCGAGGCTGAAGGCAGACTGAGGCTGAGGCTGAAGCAGGCTGAGGCTGAGGCTGAGGCAGGATGAGGCTGAGGCAGGCTGAGGCTGAGGCTGAGGCAGGCTGAGGCTGAGGCTGTGACTGTGACTGCCGTTGCCACTGCGACTGTCATCGCGAATGCGACTACGACTGCGAGAACAGCAGAATTCTACAACTGGATTATCATCTGAATCTTCAGGGGAATGCTTCCAGATATGCTCCTACACATCGCTGTTAGGTTGCTTTGCCGGGCTAATTGTTTTCACCACCGCATTCTCGAGATTAAGATCGCTATTGCGCATGCGTTTTTGCACTTTGCACGCGCGGGCGCGCGCGCGCGAGCAACGAGGAAATACAATGTGCCTCATTGCATTATGTCGCGTTGAGGCTTCCAGAATACGAGCGAAACAAATAATTGGTTTTCGCCATTGGGTTTTCGAGATTAAGATGGCTATTTTGTAGAAGCGTTTGCATGATGCACGCGCGGGCGCGCGCGCGCACGCGCGCGCGCGAGCAAAGGGGCAAGCACAGCGTGCCACAATGCATTTTTCCACGTTGAGGCCCCTGGAATACTGGTGACATAGTTGGTTCGCACCATTCAGCATTCGGAAATTAAGATGACGATTCTGCATCAGTTGCCCTTTGGGTTTTCGCATTGCGCGCGCCCGTGCGCGCGCGCAAGAGCAACCAGGAAAATGCATTGCACCGCATTGCACTATTCGACGTTGAGGCCTCCAGCATACGAGCGAAACGCTGCATTTACAGAATTGAGTTGTCGATATTAAAATGGTCATTCTGCAAGCGCATTTGCACTGCGCGCTCGCACGCGCGCGCGGGCAACGAGGGGAATTCACTGCACCGCAATGCATTATTCCACGTTGGGGCTTCCAGAATAAGATTGAAGCGATTGGTTTCCGCCGTTCAGCTGTCGAAATTAAGGTTGCTATTCGGTGTGAGTTCTTGCCTTGTTCACGCGCGCGCGCGCGATCAACCGGGAAACTACATCGCGACGCAAGGCATCATTCCACGTTGAGTCCCCCAGAATGCGAGTGATACAATTGGCTTTCACCAGTCAGTTTTTCCTTAAGTTGGAATGCTACTACGCACGGGACATCTGCATTGCGCACGCGCGCGACGAGGAACGCAGAGTGGGCCGCAATGCGTGATTCCACGTTTTCGGTCTGCTGAATGCGAGTGAAACGATTGGTTTTTCACCATTCAGTTGTTCTCACAGGTAAGATTGGCTATTCTGCACTGGTTGCCCTAATAGGTTTTTGTATTGCGCGCGCGAGCAACGAGGTCAGGCCATTGCACCACAGTTCCTTCTTTCACGTTGGGGTCACAGGATACGAGTGAAACGATTGGTTTTCGCGTTTGGGGTTTTCGGAATTGAGATGGCTAGTCGGCGCAGGTTGACACGTTGCGCGCGTGCAGCGAGGGGCGCGCATTGCGCCGCAATGCACGATTGCGCGCTTGGGCCAGCAGCATACATGTGGAACAGCTTGTTACCACCAGTCAATTTTCGAATGTATGATGGCGATGTGGCTTCGGTTTTTGCGTCGCGCTCGCGCGGGCAAGGTGGGCAGCACGTTGCGCCACATTCCATTATTCCATGTTGGCCCCCCCAGAATTGAAACGCTAGGTTTTTGCCGTTGAGTTTTCGAAGTTGATGGTTATTCGGCATCAACTATTGCATCGCACGCGCAAGAGCGCGCGCGCGTGAGCGCGCGCGCGCGAGCACTGAGGGGCGAGCATTGTATCGCAATGCAACATTCCACGTTGGGGCCTCGTCGGACTGCTAGTCAGGCATTAGGTGAACCCCATTTAGTTACCGAGCTTAGGGTGGCCATGCTGCATCAGTTCTTCCGCTGTGCGCGCGCAAGCGTGCGCGTGCAAGTGCAATCAGCAGCGCGCGGTATCGCGCTGCATCCTGCTGCGTTGGGACCATGCGATTACGGGTGAAACACTTGGTTTTCACAGTTCAAGTCTCGCATCCAGCATGGCCGCTCGGCGCCGTTTGCTCTTGCGTGGCGCGGGCAGACGGGTCATGGGGAAATCTCATTTGCGTCGCAATGTCGCATTCCACGTTTATGCCATCAGAGTGAAAGAGAAAGAAACACTAGGTTGTCGGCCTTTGGGTTTGGAAATTATCATTGCCATTCGGCAGTTAGTTCTGCGTCGCGCACGCGGGGGCTGCGCGGTGCGCTGCGCACTTGTCTCGCGCGGGGCGCGAGCGAGTTTTTGGGGTCGCAGTCGGCAGGGGCCCGCGTCTCGGAGCTCGCGGGCGCGCATTCGCGCAGGGAGCTACTGGGCGCGCGCGCTCTCATCCGTGCGAAGCCGTATTCGGAGGGGCCGGCGGCGCGCGCGTGCCGCGATCAACCTAGAGCCCAGAGCGGGCCCATGGCGCGCCCTGCTTCCATTCCCAACTCGACGGCCCGCCGCCCGCGCTTGCGTTCGGGGCAGACCTGCTCGTGGTAGCGATATGTGCGACGCGGAGGCAGCGTCGCCGCGCCCGCCAGTGTCCTTGTTTTTCCGTGATCGAGAAGGCGCGATCTTGCGCTGGTCGCTCTAGGGGCCGTCAGCGCGCGCCACGTTGCTTCTCGGCTCGGGCCCGCATTCGCCGCGGCCGCGGCGGGCAGTGCATTGGGGCTGGGGGGTGGAGAGGCGGGGGGGGGCGCAAATGGCGCTTCTCCCATTGTCCGAGATGGCAGCATGGCCGAGGCTCCGGGGCGCTTGGAAGACCGCGCGCTCTTTTATATATTTTTGTGGTTTTTACTTTTTTTTTTTTGCTTTTGTTTTTTTATGTCTTTGTCTTTTTGCCAGAGTGCAGAGCTCTGTCCGAGCCGGGAGAATGGTCGAGGTGCGGGGGGGGGGTCGGCAGACCGCGCATTGCCCCAGGTCTGATCCGGGAGGATGGCCGACGTGCGGCGGGGGGGCCGGCAGACCGCGCATTGCCCCGGGTCCATCCGAGCCGGGAGGGTGCCCGAGGTGCGGGGGGCGGGGCGGCAGACCGCACATTACCCCAGGTCCATCCGAGCCGGGGGGGCGCCCGAGGCGCGGGGGGGGGGGGGGCGCCAGACAGCGCATTGCCCCGGGTCGCTCCCCCGCAACACTGTTTGAATCGTCGGCCGGGAGGATG